GTTTAGTTCGTAATAATGTAGAACATGTAGATAGAACATTATGCCATGGGTGTTTTTGATTGATGAAATAGCGATTCATCTGGGTAAGTCGTTTATCGTTTTGAGATCTGTTATGTCAGGTTTTAGTAAACGTTTTTATAGCATAGGCCGGTAAACAAGCAGACGGATCACCTGATGGTAAGCAATCGGCGTCGCCCATGGACACCTGGAACACCAGAGACAAGTGTGTTACCGGCCTTTTGAAGATTAGGAGTTTGAGGATCGTTGGGGATTCAGGAATTGGGGAGATTGGGGAAGGGGAGGGTAATTAGGCCTCCGGTAATCTCATTCACACAACGAAACACAACGCAAGCGTTGCTTCACGTCGGTTTTCTGCTAGGCCTATCACTCCGGTAGAGCCGGCCCATTTGTGCCGAAGCATGGCTCTCCCACACAATTATCACTTAAATAGAAAATTGTTGTCACCGTAAGCAAGAAGGTTATATGGCTCACTCCAATTTTATTTACCATGTTTTTCTTTTGTGATGAAGGGTCACCTTTGAAAGGTTTGTTCAAAGATAGACTGCTCTCCTACATATCATGTGATGTATGTACTCGACCATGTTTTGTGCTATATATCATTTTATTTATTTATTTATTTATTTATTTATTTATTACACACACAAGTTATCATTACAGGTTTAGGACCCAATGCGATAACAAGGTATTATTAAATCTAGCGACTACTTACACCATATTAAACTTATACTAACGAATAAAGTAACTAATCCAAACAATTACAGAGAAAAACAAACCTTGTATTAAATTTAATAAAATAAAGACCAAATAAATAGTATTATTATTATGTATGTCTTTACCATTCACGGGACCACAGGGTCCCGGTCATTTGGGAGGCGTACGAGGGGCCGAAGCCAACTGCGCAGAGGCCCTTTAGACAACTATAATATAAATGTAATGGACACACAAACCGGCGACTATCCCTGTATTATTATTATTATTGTCTATCTATAACATAAATTATATAACAGAATCTTTGTGAATTCACTCGGCTGACAGGTAAAAACATCTATTTGCTCGTGCACAAGATTTATATTACGGATAGCTTGCGTAACCGCGGCTTTCGCCAGTAAGTTCGTCCTAGCCACCGGCACCGCCAACAGAGGCGGGCGCCGCCGCCTCCTTACATAGTTGTCAGGTGACAAACTGATTCTTTGAAGAACATCTGGGTTATGTTCCATTCCCCGAATCAATTTCACCAAATAGGTGGTAAGAGTAAACTCTCGACGCACCTTCAATTGATTGTACCCGACCATACCCAGCACAAATAACGAGGGATACATCAACGGATACAACGGGTACACTCCATACAGCTTCCAATACAGGTGACGAGTGAATTTGTTCTGAACTCGTTCTAACATCAGAGAGTACTTATTTTCATGAGGCGCCCATATCATTGCGCTGTGCTCCAAATGACTTCTCACTAATGCGTCATAAAGGGCCCGAACTGCAGAGATATTAGTGAAATCTCGCGTTTGTCTCAATAAAAATCCTAGATTTCTATACGCCTTCTTACAAATTTTCATTATGTGCTCACGGAACAACAACTCGGGGGTCATGTAAACTCCCAAATCACGCACCTGTGTGACTCGTTGCAGTGGTGTATTTTCAAGCCTGTATTCATGTAGCAGAGGTGATGTGAGATGACGCGCGCGAGTAAAACTTATCGTAGAACATTTTGACTCGTTAAAATACAGCTTGTTTTCATGACTCCATTGGACTATCCTATCAATGTCATCCTGTAAGCACTTGCAGTCTGTTTCCTTCGTAATTTCTAGGAGCAACTTTAAGTCATCTGCAAATAATAAACAAGAGCTATGTTTGACGACTTGTGGTAAATCATTTATCATAATTAAAAATTCGAGAGGCCCCAAATTACTGCCCTGGCTTACTCCCGATCTCGTGTAATAGGGATCCGATTCCCAACCATTGTAGTCGACAAACTGCTGCCTATCCTTCATGTAACTGGCAAAAAACCGAACTAACTGTGGCTTGCACCCAATCTCAACTAGCTTCCTTAATAAGATGTCATTATCGACGGTGTCAAATGCTTTTCTAAAATCAAAATAAGCGGCGTCAACCTGCACCCCAGCATCTACCGCTGGCACCAACCTTGTCATAAAGCTAAGGAGATTTGTTGCCGTGCTACGACCCGGTCTAAATCCGTGTTGTGAGTCCGAGATCTGTCCATGTATCTGTGCCTGTAAGCTACGCTGCACAGCTGACTCAAACACCTTAGCCGGGGATGACAACACTGCCACTGGTCTATACCCCTCAATGCTAGAACCTGCCTTACCTTTAGGTACTGGAATGACTCTGGTAATTTTCCAACGTGTCGGAAAAGTAGCTAAACTCAGGCATGTATTAAATATATACCGCAATGGTTCTGCTAGTACTCTGCTACAGTCTTTAACAAGAAAAGCTGGTATACCATCCGGACCCGCTGATCGCTTGGCTTTTAAACATTTAAGGGCATTGCGTACGTCCTTGACAGTAAGCCGCTCCACCTCCACATCTGTATTGTTCCCTTTCTCCACCGCTGCTGACGCTGAAGCCTCTTGTGGATCCAGTCGTGGCGGATCAGTACTATATACAGATTCAAAAAAGGCAGCAAACTGCTGAGCGCATTCGCTATCCGATAGATATTTACCATCTTTAACAATGGGTCGTCTCGCCATTGCACCTCGCTGCGATCTTATAAACTGCCAAAACGACTTTGGGTCTTTAGCAAACTGACATTGAAGTTTACTTTTGTGTTGTAAGTAAGCAGTGTTTATTAATTTCTTAATATGCGATCTGAATTTAGAATAACTTGTATAATCTTTGTTACTATTGTTTTGTTTAAACCTTTTGTGAAGTGCTGCTTTTGTTTTTAACCCACTAATTATTTCGGTCGTATACCACACGGGATAAACATATTTTGATTTACTGCAATGTTTTTTTAGAGGGACACTTTCATCCAATACACTATAAATTTTATCATAAAAAATATCTAAAATATCTTCTAAATCCGTCATATCATACATATCGCTCCAGTCCGTTGAGCCCAACATTGAATATAACAATTCATAATCTGCTTTATAAAAGTTGTATTGTGACCCTTTGCTTCGTGTGTTTGAATAAGGCGCGCTATCGTTAGCGCCACCAGTGGCACACGGATCGGCGGCGGCGGCGCCCCCAACCGCGGACAACACCCCGTCGTCGCACGATAACCGCGGCGATAGCGGCGCGCGGCCGCCTATCTCAATGCCGACGGCCAGTGGCGGGTGGTACTCGTCCACCGGCAGTATGCCCTCGTCCGCCGCAGACACCGACACTGACACGAATGCCCTTGCGCTCAGTACGAGGTCTAACTGTCTGTTGTTGCAGTTTGGAACCGTATTAAACTGAGTGAATTCACAAAATGACATAAAATATTCAAAATAGTTAACAATTCCATTATTACACGAATGTAGATTAAAGTCTCCTAATAATATAAATTATTTTTGTACTTAACACACCATTTTTCTAAAATATTAAACATCAACATATACTCATTTTCATCTGTTAATGGTGGAATGTAAACAACACAACACGCAAATAAGAAACGGTTATTCACATAAATAGCAGTACAAACTAGTTCAAACTTACATTTATTGATGTCAACATCACCTGGCACAAACACTTGTCGCAGCTGGAACCTAGGTCCAGCCACCACCATTACACCTCCCTGCTTCCGGCCGTCCGTCCTGTCGCATCTCACTACCTGGTAACCAGGAAGTAAGAATTCGGCGTCTTGAATTGATTCGTTTAATCCAGATTCCGTAATAGCGAATAAATCCGACTCCGACGACCCCAGCAACGACAACAACTGTGTCGTCTTAGTGCGTAGCCCTCTGACGTTTTGGTACAGTAGGTTGACATGTCTACGCGGTTTGTAGTTTGTCTGGTTTGAGTGAGGGGCGAAACCAGATCCACTCACTGAATTCTACATTTAGTGGGAGATTTTATGAGAGAGGCGTAGAATATGACAGATTAGTGCGTTTCTTGATTAAGTCAATGAAATACTTGTCCTGCACACGCTGAACTGGTGCCATTTCGCGGCAGAATTGGGACACAAACATGTCACCATCAGTTCTTGCTAATAGAATGAATTATATGTACTTGTCATTTGTTTTTGGCGTGTTATAAATTTGGTTTTCTTTCTTTCTCTCTTTCTTTCTTTCAAATAAATAATATACAAGCCATAGTTAGTCAAGTACACCTTAAAATTACCTAGTTTACGGAATATTACCACTAGACACGAAATATCAATACTGATTTTAGTTTTACCAACCAACTTCAAATAAAGGAGGTTTTCAGTGTGACCTGCTTGTATGTATGTTTGTGTGAGATTATCTAGCGACTGGCTAAACCCACTTTGATGCGGTTTTCAGCAATGTGTTTGTTACAATTAGATTCTTCTAAGTTGGAGTATTTTAATTGACCAACTTCAAAACAAGAGGGGATTGACGTCGGAACGAATTACTGCAATATTTTAATCTCTGGTTTAATACTTTCTCCTTTATCATGTACTTTGATTACATAAATACAACATTTTATATAACTCAACTTCCAAACGGTTCCGAATCCAAGTAACATACAGCTTGAGCTCGTATTCCTCGGAGCCAATTATTATTATTATTATTTTCCTCCGATCGTAATACAGTTTGCGTCCAATTCGTTTCTATAGAAAATTGCGCGCGTCCAAACATGTTTACTGGAGCATATCCTGTTCAAAAATATGAAACGCTCTTTTATTTCTATTTTTACGACTTATATTTATATCCTCTTATGTTAGAATATTTTTAGAATTTATTTATGTGAGAACTCGTGTCAAATTCTTTTAAACCTATTTCTTGGCACTTTCTCGTTGATCTTGTTTTTGATTCTGATGTTATGCAGTATTTTATATGCAGGGTATTTCATATGGAAATTAAGGGAGATCCATGTTTCGGCCACGAATGGACCGGCTCGACCGGAGTTATATCACGGCCTCTAAGAAAACCGACGTGAAACAAAGCTTGCGTTGTGTTTCGTCGTTTGAGTGAGGTTACCAGAGGCCCAATTACCCTCCCTTCCCCAATCTCCCCAAACCCTGAATTCCTAATAATCCTCAAATTCCTATTCCCCAATAGGCCGGTAACGCACTTGTAACGCCTCTGGTGTTCTAGGTGTCCATGGGCGATGCCGATTGCTTACCATCAGGTGATCCGTTTGCTCGGTTATCGCCTTATCCCATGTAAAGTTAGTTAATTGATATTTTATTAAATGACTGCTTCGTTGGCCGAGTGGTCGTAAAACTGCCGGGCAAGGGCTCTCGGGTTCGCTTCCCGGGTCAGGCAAAGTACTTCTGGGTTATTTTTAATAAATGTCAGTGGTAGCACGGAGTCTGAAATTGTACCCGGCGTATGGCAATAGGCTCACCCCCTATTACATGGGACTCATAACATAAATAGTGGAAAGTGGGTGTTACATTGTACAGTGGCATTGAGTGCCGTAATGTGCAAAGGCGTATTATGTAATATATTTTGTTATTTTATTAAATGTTGACTTAAATCTGGAATTTTCTCAGCACATTTTAACACGTTTGAGTTAATGTGTCTCCGTTTTACGTAACTAGCTTCATGTGGTAAATGGTATCTGCTACTAGAATATAAGGAAACATAAGATAAACATATACCTCTATATAATGAAGTAAAGTGCGTAATTACGTTGTCAGTAGCATGGAATATTAGGTTTATTTATTTTGTGTAATAATATATTATGATAACAGTTTGTTTAGACAAATTTGTCGTACGTCTGTGATGGTCAACATGACGTAAGCATATTTTTTTTAAGAACACCTTGCCCCACTGTGTAATTTTCTCCTGTGTCGTGAGTGCGTTTGCAAAAACAAAAGTTTACATACACACGATGACATCTGGATCCCAAAAAAACAATTTATGGATCTTACAAAACAGTTGCTCCGTGCGGGAATCCAATCCGCTACACGTAGCATGGCAGCCAGTTGCTTAGCCACCGCACCAACTGTGCAGTGAAATTTTTGCTCTCAACTTTATTATATTTAGTCCTAAAATATTATTGCCGATAAAATAAAAATGACGAAATATTACTATGACAAGGAACGATTTCAATTTAGTACATAATATTTGAGTAATATCAATCTGAAAAATAATTTCGAATTTCAATATATATATAATAAACGGTTGCTAGGCAGTAACAATAATATTCAGGCATTTATTCTTTTTATCTTACAATTTCTTGTCGTCAGACATTATCCCAAAGGCTTCAGACGAAATCACTTCCATACAGTTGAACAAGTAATCGAGTTTGTCGACGTTTATGTAAATATTCTGACTCGATTACTCGCCCTAACTACTCGCTTTAATAATATAATCGATAACTGTGACAATAGTAACTCTAACAATGTAAATATGAATAAGTCAGTGTTAATCTCTGTTCATTTATCGTAACACCTTAAAAACATACAGCGGTAAGTTATGATTCAAGCAGACTACCTTGAAATCATAATTTTATATTTTAGCCTACTCCTTTTACATAACGTAACATCACGCCTTTTATCCCCGAAGGGGTAGGCAGAGGTGCTCATTACGGCACTTAATGCCACTGTAAAATGTAACACCCACTTTTCACTATTTATGTTATGAGTCCCATGTAATAGGGTGTGAGCCTATTGCCATATACTGGGCACATTTCCAGACTCCGTGCTACTACTGAGGTTTTTATAAACCCGGTAATACTTTGCCTGACCCGGGAATCAAACCCGAGACCCCTTGCCCGGCAGTCGCACTTGCGACCACTCGGCCAATGAGGCAGTCCTTTTACATTGTAGTGTTAATTTACATACAATCTTCACTATCACACTTATCGTGTCATTATTGTCATTTAAACTAAAAAGAGACACTGAATTACTTTAAATGACAATAATGACAAGTGTTTTAAGTGCGGGTAAGCAATGCTTCGGCACGAATGGGCCGGCTTGATCGGAGTGATACCACGGCCTCGGAGAAAACCGACATGACACAACGGTTTTGGTATGTTTCGTCGTGTGAGTGAGATTATCACAAGGCCAATTACCCCTCTCCCCAATCCCTGAATCCCCAATAATCCTCAAATTCCTAATCCCTAAAAGGCCTTATAACACCTCTGGTGTTTCGGGTATCCCAGGGCGGCGCCGAATGCTTACCATCAGGTGATCTGTATGCTCGTTTACCGGCTTATGCCATAAAAAGACAAGAACTACCCAAACGATATAAAATACACGAGCAAAGTCACATATACCACCATAGTTCAAACTAGAATGGTCACAAAACCAAGTGTGCCGAGTTTGCCTCACTTTGTCACGTCACACTGTATAATAATGGCTCGTAATAGAGTATTTAGAACACAATGGCGCGCGCCACGGTGTCACAGCGCCCCGGCCGCCCGTCACACCGGGCTGTAACACCTGTGGCCATTGTTCTTGTATTTCGGAGTTTGTCTTTGTTTGTTTGTTTGATTAAATGTTTGTATTTTAGGTGTTTAGGTTTCTTTTGGAGTTAAGTAAAGCTTTGTTGATACATTGTACTTCATTATTAAAGTATTAACTTAATACTTACGTATGTATGTCTATTACAGAGTTAGTAAAAAACTTAATAATTATTATATTTAACCACCTTTCTTAATGTAATTTTTTATTAGAATATTAATAAGACCTTATGCCATAAGGCTTATAGGGAATATGACAGGACAGGTATATGAGAAATGTATAAGAATTGTAAATAAAATAATCGTATCAAACTTAAATACACATTAAAAAATACTCAAATACGATACACGATCACGTACACGATCTTTAAAATATTCCAAAAAATCCTCATTTTCCTTATATTATATAAGGCCCATATCGGACTTTTTATATTGGCACAAGCTCGCCACAACCAGTGTTTAGGGCGACGCCAATTGCTTACCATCAGATCATCCGTCTACCAGTTTACCGGGGTCTCACATAAAAAACTTAAATTTAAATAGATAAAAATGTCTTACAAACTATTTGCATTAATGAGCTACGGCAGCGCTACGAGCTTTCTTTCGTAGCGCTACGAGCTACGGGCTACAACACCGCGTAGCTTCATTATGCTACGTCGCGTAGCTCTTCGTTAGCAAGTCCAATCGGCTTTATATCTATTGTATTTGACTAATTACTGCCAGCTTATGCAAATTATTAGACCTACTTGGAGAGCAGCCAAGAGATAGAGACTGAAATAATAGTCGTGCTTATACTAACCATGACAACTAAGATAAATCTACTATACATTGCTAAGAATCTATACATTGGAGCGAGTTTATCTTCATACTATTCTGTGAATATTTTTTGACCTTATAATAGTTGGAATAAATGCTTTTCGACAATGACTGACTTTAGTGTTTGTGAGAGTGTATGTACATATATATATTTGTTTAAAACGCACTTACTGAACCGTGGATTTTTGGCACAGAGATAAGACTGTAATAGCCTGTATAGTCTAAAATACTACACAGGCTACTCGTTACTCAGAAAAGACAAAGTCACTGGTAGCAACTAATATTTCATTAAACCAATAGTCACCAGTTTCTCTACTTAACGATGGCACCATCCTTTCCAACTCCACTCTATAAACCTGGTCGTCATAGCGACAGGCTGCCACTTATTTATTAGGAAACACATCAAAATGGCGGCTCGTAAACTATTTATTATATAAAGCAAGTATAAAGGTGACTTAATTAAACGACGACTGTCATTTATTTCAGTCCTATGAAAGCGTAATTAAGAATGTTAGTGTTCGCGAAGGCGACCGGTTTAATGTCTGTTGGTGCCGGTTTACGATAGTGTCGTGAAGCGTGGTAGCCTCGTAACTCGCAATATTATGTAGTAAATTGTTGATAATTGAAATCAGTTTATTGTGTACCTTTAAGAAGGGAAGGATATAAAGTGAAAGTACAGGACATTGTTGGTTTTCTTCAAGTTAAATTAAAATCTGTTTCCAGATAGATACTACTACTTAGCTGCTGTGTATAGGATTGAATTTCATAGATAAATACATTTGTGCACTACCCACAGGATGACTGGCATAAAATGCTGTTAGCATTAAGTCTTCCTTATGCAATTGTATAAAACTTAAATAAATAAATAAACTGACTGCCTCGTTGGCCGAGTGGTCGCAAATGCGACTGCCGGACAAGGGGTCTCGGGTTCGATTCCCGGGTCGGGCAAAGTATTACTGGGTATTTTAAAAATTCTCAGTAGTAGCACGGAGTCTAGAACTGTGCGCGGTATATGGCAATAGGCTCACCCCCTATTACATGGGACTCGTAACATAAATAGTGAAAAGTGGGTGTTACATTGTACAGTGGCATAATATGCATCTCTGCCTACCCCTTCGAGAATAAAAGGCGTGATGTTATGTTTATAAATAAATAAAAAAAGAATAAATCCATTTGGCCTATAGCGTGTAATAATAGTTTTATTTTACAAATAGACTAGAAAGCAGCATTGTTGCATGTTAATATTTACATTTAAATAGATAAGGCTAGAGGTGGCTGTAAACAATAATAAAACAAGATTTCTTAAACCGATAAACTTATTAAATATCTTGATAAAGTTTTATACATTTTTTACTTGCATTTTAAAACCTATCTAAGTTTAATTAACACTTTCTCAATGTACTTTCAGTAGAATTTCAATAAATATTGTAATAATGCAGCCTCTTCGTTTGTATTACCTTTTAATCCATTGCACTTCAGGCTTTCACGTGCCTTTGACAGAAGAATAGCACTTAAACTTCACTCTGAATCCTGAATATTTCAGCACAGTGAGTTCAAGTGCTGAAAATAGTAGCACTCAGGTGAAATTAAACTAAAAAGAGAATAGTGAGCGGGAAATTACAATTTCACAGCTCAAATGCAAAGTGAATTTAATTTACATTTTTTTTAAATATTATCCATTATTAATTAACATTAAGCTTATTGCTATGGGCTTGTGGCACCGACTTCTCATCTATAAGTGGGTAGGTAACCTATAAGTACGTATGATTAATAATAGTTATTTTTGCTTTTAGTTTTGTGGATAACCTCCTCCTTTTTGGGAAGTCGGTTAAAAACCAGTGATATTTTGCTCACATAATTAACATTGAAAACGAAACTTCGATAGTTATAAACAACTCCACCAACGTAACTGAGACCACACTGCCATTCAAAAATAAATCAACACATTAAAAAAATAAAGCACAAATTACTTTACACGTCACGTGACAGCTGTTTCGGTGACCAGATACATAACTGGCGGCCATGGACAAGTTGTCCAAGGCCGAAGATAGGTCCCTTAACGAGGCCCCCTCGTGCCATAAATCTATCGAGGGGGTTAGGGGGTTACCTAACGATTAATTGCCACCCTGCCCTAATTCCGGACTAGTTTTATTAATGGCGTGGGATGCAAGGTGATGTGTTACTGAATGTATGTCAATTCGCAGCTGGGTGGCTTATGTTTTGTGTAGCTACAATATTATGTTGTGGTATAGATACTTTTTGGGTAATTAAGTAATGACGTCATTAGTATATGTATCACTTTTTTGAGGGGGGAAAGTCATCGAATTACTTCTCCCGCCCGGGTGAGGCGGGAGGGAGTGTCAGACTCTTACTGACTAAAAACCACCCCGTTTCTACTACTGCACTTCGTACTAGCGCCCTATTGGGCTCCATCTGTGGTGGTCTAATGGCTCCTTAAGGCGCGCGCCGAACGCAACGCGCCGTACGCTCGGGTACGTCATTAGTACTGTGACTGCCTCGTTGGCCGAGTGGTCGCAAGTGCGACTGCCGGGCAAGAGGTCTCGGGTTCGATTCCCGGGTCGGGCAAAGTATTGCTGGGTTTTTAAAAATTCTCAGTAGTAGCACGGAGTCTGGAATTGTGCCCGGTATATGGCAATAGGCTCACTCCCTATTACATGGGACTCATAACATAAATAGAGAAAAGTGGGTGTTACATTGTACAATGGCATTAAGTGCCGTAATGTGCACATCTGCCATTATAGGCGTAATGATACTCCGTCATTAGTAATGGCATAGAATGCTAAACACGGGTGGGATTGACCATAAATTATTTCTGTCCAAGTTAGTTCATCTATAGGTTGCCTCGTGCAGGAAATGCACGGCAGCCAGTTACCCAGCCGCCGCACTCTAAAACCCACTTTAAATTAAAGTTACACAAGATACATTTCTGAAGAGTTTTGAAGAGAAGAACACAGTATATAATAAAATCAAGCGTCATTTGCGATCGTCGTGATGGCCCGGAGGTTTAAGACGCGCGCTTCTCATGCGTGACGGTGCGGGCTCGAAACCTCTCAACGGCAAGTACCAATGTTAATTTTTTCCGAGTTATATGTACTTTCTAAAATTATCTAGACACCACTGACAAACGGTGAAGGAAAACGTCGTGCGGAAACCTGGGCTTATATTTTCTTAATAAGTTTGAAATCGCCAACCCGCATTATGCAGCGTGGTAATTAATGCTCAAACCTTCTCCATGTGAGAAGCTTTGCTCAGCAGTGGGTATTTCTAGGCTGTAGCTGAAGCGTCATATCTCCAAATCCTCCTACATACTGAAACAATTAAACACATATGGTATTCAATTCTAAACAAGTATGAAGGCCTGACACTGAAACATACAGCTGTGAACAGCTGGAAATAAACAAGGTTTCGAAGTTAACACAATGCTTGTATTGTGAATATAATAATATAACTCACGTCAGAAATGAAAGCTTCTGCGGTACTGTAATGAGTACATACAAACATATTTGAGAACAATTTTGTAGATGACTTTCTATAATTATGTATGTAGATACTAAATTAAAACCGTAATATTTAAATATTTTATTACTAAGACTGCCTCATTAGCCAAATCGTCTGGGGTTCGATTACCGGATCGGGCAAAGTACTTAGATTTTTTTTTAATCTCAGAAGTAGCACTGAGTCTGGATATGCGCCCGGTATATGACAATAGGCTCGCCCTTATTACATGGGACTCATAACATAGATAGTGAAAAGTGGGTGTTACATACAGTGGCATTAAACTGTCAAACACCAAGCGGTCACCGGTGACCGCGACCTATTGTTCTTTAATTGTGTCTTTAAAACCGGTACTCGACGAGTTAAGTGCCGTAATGTGCACCTCTGCCTATCCCTTCGGGGATAATAGGCGTGATGTTATGTTATGTTAATTACCGATGTGTCTGCTTAAGTGGAATTCCAGAATTGGTAAGGATGGTAGAAATTAGTAGACATATCTAATTATTTAGTAGACTGATGATATCTTTGAGAAACTTGTGGTCTAAGTTTTGCTGTGTGTGACAGCAACTTGATC